GAATAATTGATTATTGAATTCTTTCTTCTGCGTAAAATTTAAATCTATATAAAACACGACATAAAATATTCAATAGCAAAGAACATGTGACGATATATTTAAGAGTGAAACAGATTTTTATTTCGATTTTATTTTTAAAGTGTTTATAAAAAATTTAATTTGCATCGCTATATCTATAAAGTAATAAAATAAAGTTTATCTGTGGGTTACGATTCGAGTCTAATCAAGGTTCCAAGAGGATCTTTCTTTAAGAATTAAGATTAGATAAGCAGATTGAGATGACGAGAACGGAATATCCAAACTAACGAGGAAATCATTTCGTGGCCTGATCAATTTGGAGGAGTTCCACCTGGACGACAATTGAGTTATCTGTTAGCGAGCTAAAGAGAAAGCTATATGAGTTTCAATTGGATCGATAGTGTTGCCGAGCATGCGATTCGATGGATTGCTGTATCTAAAATTATAATCAATTGACGTCCATTCAAGGAGATATATGTTCATTGCATTGATTTTCATAAGTTTGAATATAATCAAATCCAGAATAGTATATCTGGATTTTATAACTTCTAATACCTTTCATAGATTTTTACTTATGTTTTTAAATTAATGATTTATGGATGAAAATTGTCAAAATAATTAACGATAAGATAAAGTATAGTTGGAAATATTAAATCTTCGATTCAATAAAATCGAGAAGATGGGTTTGATTTCCTGATCGACATATGGAAATGTAGATATGATCAAATGGAACAAATTGAGAAGCAGGAAATTAAATAATAGTTTGAAATACCCAAGTGAACAAGTGTTGCCTCGTTGCCACGATATAATTAATGACAGAATTTAGTTACTGGAATTAGATGTGTTCAAACCATATAGAACACTTTAATTACATTCTAATTTAGACAGAAGTCTCTTTCTATTTCGCGAGATTAATGTTAATAACAAATAATATCCAATTGAATTAAAAAAGAAGATAGTATAAGATAAAGATAAAACTTAATATTGAAATAAATCAATAATTATATCAAGATTTGATATGTGAATTATATGTATATTGAATCTATCTTGAAGATTTTTAAAGGTTATGAAATTTTTTCAAAACTTGGCATTTAATGCTACTATAGATTATTGTTAAATAAAAAATCTTTGGAAATAAAATTAATTTATAACACGTTTTCAATCATTGAGGATTAAAGAAACTGAAAATTCTAATTGGAGGTAATTGTAACTAATATTTTTTGTTCAAAAATATTCTGTTTTTTATGATCGTATGTAAACTTTGTCAATAAAAATTTTTATTATAATGTTTAATAATATTTTCAAAAATTGTTTGTTTTATTTTAGCTCATCTGTATGAAGAATCGTGATCAATTTGGTATATTGCATTAGGTATAATTTTTCGAAAGGGATTAACGAGAAGTCCAGGAATAGTCTAATCGCTTAACCAACTGACGATTAATAGGCTCGTATTAAATCAGCTCATTTATAGTGGGCTGTGTGTAGCTAATTTCGCTAAATGCATCACCTGTCCGTGGTGCAAATGTGTTCCTAACTTGGTCGAGTTGGAACCAAAAACGATTATTAAACTCTTTACCATCGATTCATTTATAAATTCCAGGCATGCTGTGTGAGAAATTAGAACGTAATTAATGTCATCTAGAGGCGTAATTATAGTTGAATCGAGCCATTTCCAGAACTGTTATAAAATAGTGAAAAAATATAATTTTATCGAATTGGAATATTTCGTGCTACGAATTGAACATTGGAAATGACAAAAAGCTCAAAACTCAATAATTTTTATTTTGATAATTTATTGATTAAATTTTTTTCTTGTAAAAATTAAGTTTAAGTTCTGGAAATTTAGGATGTTTGTAGATTTATGGAAAATTTAAATATACAAAAAGTACAAAAATGCAAAAAATAGAGTAGAAAAATGCAAATGTAAAAAAAAAGAAAAAAAAATGCAGAAAAATACAAAAAGTTAAATGTGAAGTATTTTAAGAAGGAATTGATAAAAGTTTTTCTGCAATTTTTTAATGTTAAATAATCCTCCTTAGTAAAAAGTTTGTAGCTGTCGCGATATTCTATGAGCGAAATGGAAAAGCTGTTAATTTAAGAGGCTGATTTGATTTGCAAATCAACGACAAGACGGTGTCGCGATTATCTATGGGAAAAGAGTGATTTAAGTGGGTGGCTTAATTTGAAAGTTGATTGCAATGCGATAAGAAAGAATCTATTATAAAAATAAAGATTCCTGCTATTCGTCGAATTTAAAAAAAATTATAATTAGCATAGCTACGAATTTATTATTAAAAATTGAAAAGAATTTTTTAAAAAATCGTTCTATTAATTTTTTAGAGATCCAGAATAATATCTATCAGTATAACAATGTTTAAATTTGAAAAAAAATTGAGAAAAATTAAATTACTTCTTTAGTGCTAACTTTTTGCTATTGTGAATATTTATTTAAATTGTTCTAAATCGGTAAAGCAGGAAATAAATTTGTCCGGCCTCGATTAAAGTAACAGCCGGTACCGATTTGAGGCTAGTTACCGTGTTATTAATATATAGCGATCGCTTATTAGAAAGTTCAGTTCTTTTCACTTGGTAAAAAAGGCGAAACAAGACTGCGTATCGAACTCTATTTTCGTACAATATGTGCGCTACATCCTGAAACCCGGTCACGTTCCGCTATTCGAGTGCATTTCATTTAAATTCTCTCCCATTGAGATATTTCGACTGGAAATGAAGACGAAAGAGAAGAATCGTGTACCAATCGAGTAAAATTTAAAGCATCCTTCCTATCTGCTACAAGAAATATATTTATTATTGTTTTCATTTAATTATATTTATTATTTTAAAAGAAAAATTTATCTCGAAAGGATTAAATTCACGTATGATTAATAGAAAATATACATAGACGAAACGTATTTCCCGTGTGTACATGCACATGTATTGATAAATGCGTACATACACAAACAAATATATACGTATACGCAGAAGCCGCAAATAGTAAATAGACAAACACACGGAGATTGAAACACGTAAATACACACACGTATGAGAGAACAAGCAGAGCACCATTATGAAATCGAGTGAACATAATGTTGATAAATTATAGATTTCCATTTCCAAGTAATAAATAAATTAATTTGAATTATGTTGTAAAAAGGTTATAGATGTCTCAACGATGTAAAAATATTTTGGAAAATATTTTAAATATGCAAAAATTTAGGTTACACCATGTTTTTTCATCATCAACATCAACGAATTATATTTTCTTTATTTCAAAATTTTTTAAATAAGTTAAATCTTTGGAAATTCAAGCTACATATTACAAGAGGAAACGTAAACAAAATTTCGAAAAATTACGCAAATGTCTTGCACTTGGAATGCCTCGCTTTTTGTTTTTTTTCTCTTTCTTTTTGCAATGAGTGTCGCGTCAAATTTCGTCGAGCATTTTTCTCTGACATTTGCAATATTTGCAATATCGTGTAATGCATCGTGTGAAATATCTTATTCGAAGATAGAATGGAGAATGTAAAACTGAAGGTATGTATTGCGACAATGATAACTTTGTACAAAAAGCGAATTCTAAAACGAGACGATAGATTTTCTCATTAACGAAACTTTGATTTTGATATCACGCATGGAAAAGATGGTTTATATACTGTAAATAATTGAAATATTAATTTTTAATTTTAATTAATTTTTTATTTTTTTTTTGTTCATATTAATTGAAAAATTGTTAAATCATTCTATTCTTTTATTTTTTTTCCAGATTAATTAGAAAATGTTTTAAGAATATATTTCCAATTTTTATTTCATATATTTTCTGTAATATTAGTTATTCTCTCCAGCATACGTTCTATTCTTTCTCATCGCCAAAGACATTTCCTCGATGACGATGAAGCTTCATTTCCATCCACGTGGTCGTTAAATTACACCGTCGAGAAGAAATATCCGAAGATGTCGTTGGCTGTTCTGGCGCAGTATTAGGGCGTCGATCATAATGATAGATTGCCAGTGAAAAAAGAGACTCGAGACAGTGTATTTTACCCGATTCTGGCTCGACACTTTTGCTCGTTTGTCTTTTCGCGCATTAACCATCGACGACGACCCTTTGAGGCACCTGTTTCCGCCGGCAAACTCCGTCCTTGACATACTGTCTATTGTAACAGACAGCTCACTTGCGATTTATTATCTCTATTTCTTTTTCTGAATCTAAATTTTTCGTCATGAAGGAACGTGTATTATAATTTTCTGAAATTGAGCGATTCATATTGCACGTCAAATATATTGCGTAGTTATCTTCTATCTCGTAGAGATAGAAAGTATAAAAATTTCCAATCCAGGGAAACGATTAAGATGATATATCTGACGTATGGAATGTCTACAAATCGTCGTAGAAAGTGGACTGCACGCGACGCGGTTAGAAATCTCTTTGGAATTTCTCCATCGCTGTCTCGGGCGCAAAAACGGATCACTCTCTAAAAACTTCTCTTCTCGATGAGAACAGTTTCCTCGGGATATTAAATTTATCTCGTGAACGAAACGAAATCTTACTTCTAAAAAAGAAATAAAGATTGTTTATAAGTCTGTCATAGTATACATCGCTCAATCATAGATTACAACATTCTGATATTTTTAATTTTTTTATTTAAATATTTAACACAATTGGGTAAATTATCTATTTATAAAAAGAATAACATTTATTATCGACGGATGGTAATAAGAAAATTTCGATAGAATAATAGAATAATATAAATTACTAGATAACGAAAAATAACTAGCAATGGAACTAGATAAAATAATTTTAATCGTAAATGATAAGAATAATTAGACAAAGTATCTAGAAATGAATACAGATGACAATAAGAATTTTAATCACGATATCAAAAATATCAAGAATAAATAGGCAAAAGTAACTATATATAATAAAACTAGAACAAGTCGTTATAATATCAAACGTCTCAGTACCCGTCCATCCAAGTAATATCTCGAATGTTTCATTTCTCTTGGAACGATAATAAAGAGTAGTAGTAATCTCGCGGAGGAGGCTCGTGATACTCGACTTCATTCATCGATTCCAACGTATATATGTACACAATTTTCCCTTTCCTATACTATTCGTTGCTTCCTTGTGGCACGAATTCGGCACACACGAAGACATACAAGCCTCGCCAGACATCCGAACAATTTCCTTTTCTTCTTCGAGCGTGGCGCCGCCTTTGTAGCCCTGGAGAACGTTATGACACCATTGCCACATTTCGAAGATTTCTCGGTAATTTGCATTTCAATCTCCAAGATAATACACATGGGACTTTGATTCAAAACGTATCCTTTCTTTTCTTGCTTATTTTTCAATGTATATACCGAGTTAATAAACGATTATTACACATCTAATTTAGATCTTTAATATTTTCCAGTTAAAGGCTGAAAAACTATTAATCAGAACGAAACTCGAAAATATTTCATATTAAACAATTTCATATTATTGTAACACGACGATACTTGCTACAAAAGCTTACAATTCTTTCATTATGAGAAATAATAAACGTGTAAGAAGAACAGTGAAATCGAAGATCTAAGTGAGACAAAGCCGCATATTTTTCCATGCTAACCAAATTAATACGACTTCCTCGAGTATTCATCAAATCTCGCACCAATTGAAATTTTCTCAGACAGCGTTCGAATACATTTCCACGAGAAGAAGATATTTCCAAGCCTTCGTTTTCATCTAAAGAATTAAAGACGACGTTTCCAACGTGTCGGAAGAGTATCTTTCACGCAACGTTCCTCTCTCCCTTCTTCTGCATATCTTGGTGCATTAGAGTGCATGCACGATGATATTAAGATGGTAGCGTAATTAACGAAATACTGTTCTCTCTGGTTCGGAACAGAGATATTTCGATATTTTAATTTTCCAGGTGACCATTTTTGTGCTTTGAATTCATTCTCGGTGGCGACAAATGACAAAATTTCTTCAAAATTGTTTCTGGAATAAATTCAAAGATACATGTTTTTAAGAATTATGATTGCAAAAAATTAAGATAGCAAAGAGAAAAATTACAAAAATCAATATTTTTATTAGATTCGAATTCGATGTATCTTTATCTTTAAGAAATCTTTCCATTCTCTGTGCAGTCATTTTTTTCATTCAAAATATTCAAATACTTTTTGTCAAAATTAATATTAACTTCAAGCATAATTACTTTTACAATATTCTAACTTTCGTCTTAATTGTATAACATTTTTGAATAAATTTCATAAATTGGTAGTTCTAGTTGCATACAATTATGAATTAATTTCATGAAACATGGAAAGTATTATTTTGTTGCACACTGTACAATCTTTGGTTTCTTATTTATAGTTCAATCACGTGTACAATTTTTCAAATATTCTTCTCTATGTGGATATAAATATCTGATTTTCTTTTTCTCTCTCTTTTCATTTTTTCATTTTTTGCAGCTTTTCTATAAAAGCATCCAATATCACAAGCAGTTCTTTATAATTAAAGCAGTCCTTTATAATTTTTCAGTAATATCCAGGGAAAATTCAGGGACGGTGGAAACGTTTGTTTGCTGTTTAATCCTTTGGAATAGGAATAATTCAAGCTGAAGCACTCTCGAGGAAAAAAGAGCTGTGAATTTGGAAAAAATGTAATGTGACACATGTTAGAGGAGTATTATATTCAGGTATATCATAATAACGTGCAATTTGTAAAATAAATTAACGAATTCTCTTTTAAATGTTTGTAATTATTTATTTATAGCGAAAGAGTGAAATTTAAAAATCTCTAGTAGTTCGATTCATTAATTATTATTGAAAATTCTTGGTCGAAGAGAAAAAATTCTAGAATTTTGATTTAATCATTTGATACAACTGGCTTAACCGACTTAAAGGTAAACGATAACGAAAATTAGACAAGTTTGGATGATAAAGGTTTATCTCCTGATCGACTTTTCCCAATCTAATTACGATAACGAAAATTACATAAGTTTGGACTATATGGATTGCTCTAGATTCATATCCAAAATTTTAACGCAAACTTTTCATAGAAAAACTTCAAAACGCGATTTCCGAGTTTAATTTTGAAAAAATTCACTTTCACTTCCCCTACATTCTGCTCGAATTAAAATCTCGAAGATTTCTAATCGTTTTCCATTCCAGATTGAAGGATCGAATCTCTCGGCCTCTCGAATTCTTTTATTCAAAAACGCTTTTCGCCAAATACCGAAGTAAGAACGGAGAGGAAGGATTACCGAATAAGGATAAAAATCGAGAAGAGGATAGATTTCCACGGCGACGACGATGCAAGAGCGTCGGTGAGAGTTTGACCACTTGGGAATCGAATCCTCGCGCGACCTCGACTTTCCCTTACCCCCCATTTGACACGTTAAAGAGCCGAGGGAATGTTGGATTTATCGTCGTTTTTTTCTAACCCCTTGGATAACGAAAATCCAAGTGGGTATAAAATAAAATGAAACAATTTGACACGACACATCAATCTCACGCTTAAATTAATGTAATTGTATTAAATTTCGAAAGAGGATGGATATTTTGGAAAATTTATAAAATAAGGTGAACCAAGGTTTGTTAACAAAAAATATTCGATCACCTCTCTTCAACTCTTTCAAAACGTCTCCCTTTTAGGGTTTCAAGAATATGTACTAATCAACGGAGAAACAATGGACAGAGAATTTGGGATTTTGTGGACATGAATGGACAAGCTGATGAACTCTCGAGCTTGCACGAGGATGATCTGCGATAATTGTGCGAGTGTCTTGGCACACTCTTGACCTTGAGGATACAGAAAATCAATCTCAACAATTCTAGAACATTATATATATATATATATAATGTTGTATATATATATATATATATACAATTCTAGAACATTATATATATATATATATATATTGAAAAATTTATTTTTAAAATTTCTTGAGAAATATTTGATAATTGGTTATCGATCTTACGTGGAAGATAAGAAACGGTTCGGTGTTTGCCGAACAATGGGCAGAAACGTGGGACACGTATCAAGTTTGGAAACGGGTTAATTGGTCGGAGGAACGAATCGACCGACATCGACCAGATTTTATCGGTTTATTCCTCGAGAATCGTCGATCCAGAATCCTGTGAACCGGATAAAAAGTATCTTCCACGATATCGACGCTCTCTCTCACGATGGCAGGAGTTGGATTTAATTGGCTTGGCCGGCCAGATGACCTGTAATAAATCGTCGAAAATAACAGTCGAACGAGCAACGATAGCTGGAGCTTGGAAACGATTCTGAATTCGATGAAACGTTTTTTTTTTTTTTTTTTTTTTTTTTTTGTAAAAAGGAAAAAGAAATTTCCTTCGTGCATTGGAATGCGTTAAAAATACGAGACTTAATAACGCCGACTGGAAAAGCAGGTATTTTCAAAGTATCCTTCCTCTCTCTTTCTGAATTTTTTCTTTTTTGTAAAATCGAATTCGAAAAATTTTTCGTTAAAATTTCTTCGCCAATAATGTAATGGATAAGATTCAATGAAATTAAATAGCTCGGTATCGTCTTTTCAAACTCGAGAGCATCGACATTTATGTATATTCCAACCCAATAATTTCACGCTTTTCAAACGTTTCTAACTCGCCATTCCATGTTCCAGTCACGTTCCCAGTACAGATCTCGAATGCATCCCGAATGCGTTCTCGCTATAAATCAAATCCAGAGGTGTCTGTCTCTTCTCCCACCCTACTCCAGTATGGATACACCGAATCGTCGAGGCTCGCACGAGTATTCATTTTCTGAAACGATATACGCGTCTAATGTCGCGCAATGATTGCTCAAAAAGCGCACTTTCACTCGTGCCGATTCAATGACTATTGGTACACCTTCGAGTCCTTGTAATAAATATCAGGTCTCGTGTTAACGATGACATATCGTGAAACGATATTTCTATTTAACGTGGATCGTTTGCATTTCGAGCGAATTAATCGAATGTAACAGTAACAGTGGATTGTAATTGATATTTTGGGAATAAGTATAATATGGATAATTGAGAGAACGTGTGTATAACGAATATCGTGAGAGTTTCACCCTTAAGGGTGTGAAAGTGTTGAGAATTTAATTAGAGGATGAAGTTGGGGGATACATGCCACATGGGGAATTTTCTTTCTTTCTCGCCTGAGAGAAGAGAAAGAGAGAGAGAGAGAGAGAGAATGGCGTGGTTTTTGCTTGAATCCTTGGCATTGTATTCTTAAAAAGCTTTGTAAATTTCTGGCGCGTAAATTGTTTTCAAGAGAGTCGTCGCGTGACAATTGTCTACTACGAAGCATTTCAGTGAAATGTCAACCTTCGACGCGTAGGTGTTTATAGCCTCGAGAATGATTGATTTCATTCCACGAAGATCGATCGGATTTTATGTGTGAAGGACGGAATCTTGACAAATTGGTTATATCTCCTCCTCCTTGGCGCGAAGGTGGCTCTCTCTATACAGCTTCTGACAAAGTAATCTCCAATGATTTTTATACACTAGAAAAATCCAGATTGATGATGGTTGATGATCATTCTTCCTTGTTTCTGCTGTAAGTCAAATTTTTATTTTCATACATCAATACTTTTTTCCAAATTTTTTACAATTAATATTATTTAATATTATTTATAATTTTTGTAATTTTTTTTCAATCTATTATTTAATATGTAAGAGTATTATTTATTCTAGAAAGAATTTTTTAAAAATTTTCATTTTTTTTTTTATAATGCTTATCAGAAAATTTAGAATTTCGAAAAAAACGAACTGGTAATCTTTGAAGATTTGAACTCGGGTCAATTTGATACGAAACCTGAGGTCCTACTCGTTGAGCCATTCAGTCTTTTCGGCATTCTATTCTATTTTCCAGTATAGATTTAGAATTCCTACACGGGAAAGCTAGTTAACTATTCCGATCTGAATATTTTTCTCGAAAATCTTTACCTGTCACTTTATCTATTTTCTTTCTTTAATACAAAAACAATTTTCTTTTTCCAACACGTAAATGCAAGCGTAAAAAATTCAATTTTTATTTTTTGCTATGACAAATATACGCAAATATACGCATAATTTTCAGTCATCTTTGAAATTTCACATTATTTTAACAATTTTAAAAAAAAGTTAAACGATTCCATTATTTCCTGAATGTTTAATTTTCGAAAGATTAAAATCCAAAAAAAAAAATCGGCAAATTATTCTCTCAGTATTTCGATTAATTAATTAATATTCAATAATATTTTTTCTTGCGTTTATTAAACGTAGAACAGCGTACGCGTTTAAAATCTCAACACTTGACCCCGCTCTTGTTGTTCACTGATAACACGAGAAGGAACAACGACCCGACACAAGTTTGCACTTATCTAACGTTGGTCAGCGAGATTAACGACAATCTCGTATGCATGGCACCATTCTGCGTGTGATATTTTTCACAGAAAACGATTAATTCTTACGAATATATATACGTATATATAAAATAATTTAAAAGATAAAAGATAAAAAAATAATTCAAGCTTGTACACAAACCTCTTCACACCTCTTTATTGCTCTAATTTTTACAAACTTTCGTCACAAAACACCAAATACGTTTTCCAAAAAAAAAAAAAAAAAAAAAAAAAAGGTTATTATAATACATCCTTAGGTGTACAAAATGGTCAAACTGGTCAATCCAAACTCCTTCCTGTCCACACCGGTCAGATTATTATTCGCAAGATTCAATGTTTTCAGGGCTGGAAGACCTTCGAACGCACCAGGCTGGACCACGCCTATCTTATTATCGGACAAATCCAACTTCTTCAAACTGGTCAACCCACTGAACACTCGAGCCTCGATCGTGGACAGTTGGTTCTTCCTCAGGTCCAATTGTTCCAACTGTTTCAAATCCGAGAATGCCCCTGCCTCTATACCGTCTATCTGATTGTGATGCAGATTCAAGATCCTGAGACCGATCAATCCTTTGAAATCTGCCTTCGAAACCCCGCTCAATTGATTGTACTCCAAAAACAAGCCATCCAACTTGTGCAAACCCTTCAATACACCTTGCTTGATCGACGTCAATTTATTGTTCTCCAGATGAAGGCGGGTCAACTCTGGCATCTGACCAAACGTACCACTCTCCACGCTGGAAATCTTATTGTCGTTCAACCAGAGGAACAACAACGACGAGGACAATCCCGAGAAGGAATTTTTATTGATCGACCGGATATCGTTGTGCCCCAGATAGAGCCACATCAAGTTGGACAGATCCGCAAACGTGTCTTTGGGTATGTCGTTGATCTTGTTGAAGATGAGTGACAACGAATTCAATTGTTTCAATTCGGAGAACAAATTGGGCGAGAGTTGTATAACGTTGCTGTCCAGGTCCAATCGTACCAATTTATCCAAACCTTTGAACGATTCCCTCCTCACCACGGATATCTTGTTACCCAAACCGAGGCTGAGCTTGGTCGTGGACAGATTTTTGAACGCGCCCTCCCTGATGGAGAGCAGATTCATGTCGTGGATCTCCAGCCTGTCCTCGAATTCCTGTTGGGTGACGTCCACCAGTGTGCCTTTCCTCTCGCACACCTTGTAACCGGTTATCTGCTTGCAGTGGGGTTCCTCCTGGCATTGGACGATCGTCAACAGGAGCAGAAGAACGAACGAGAGGATGGAGTGCGGAGGAGTTTCGATCATCTCGATCTCGGCCGAGTTTTTTCACGTGCCAACGCGGCTGTCTGAACGGCTCTCTTCGACGAGATTATTTATACAATGCTTTGTTGGATTGCACAGAGTTGCATTGAGATTGGACGGGACGGAGGGGGGGCCACGACCCATGGCACTATTATCTCGCGAGGAAATGTGGCTCTCAACCTCGTCGATTAATAATTTCCAACATTCGTTTGTGGGAATGTGCAGAGAATCGATTAAAGGCCAAGGATTCTTTGAACCTGGTTGAAACGAGGGAGTAAATAATACAATATATATTTGAGCTTGAATCTGAATTGATTAAGAAATTTTTGGGATAATAAGATTTTTAAGAGAGTTATATTAAATATATATTAGAAATAATAAATGTACAAATGAATAATACCAATTCGACATCTTTCTTGTTCAGGTAAGTTAAATCATTATGTATAAAAGTTATCAAGGCTTGAAGATTTCTAAAAGGCATCAGACTCCATTTTTTATTTAATCTTATTGATAGATAAATCAAGGAAATGCAAAGGGAATAATAGACTGAATGTCCGAGACTCAATTATGGACAATTCATTATGCATCAGATTTAATTGTTTCAATTTTTTTCAGATCTGAAAGCAGAAAAAGTATCTGGTAAGATTCTTGCTATTCTATTGTAATCCAGACACAATATCGTTGTTCAATCCCTGGAAATCTGTCTTGGATATGACGCTCATTTTTCTCCAAGAACAAATGCAGATCTCTTAAGACTCCTTGAATAGACGTTCAAATTATTATTCTCCAGGTGAAGTATGGTCAAATTAGACATCTGATTAAACGTTCCAACCCCTATATATTGGAGATCTCATTATACCTCCAGCCAGAGGTAGGAGTAACGACGAAGATAATTTCAAAAATAAATTCTTGTTAATAGATTGGATACCATTGTGATTTAAGTAGCCAGATCAACTTGTGCAGACCAGCAAACGAGTTTTTGGGTATATTGTTTGGGTATATTTGATTTCGCTGGAAACGAAAGACAGCTAATATAACTGTGCCAATTCCGAGAACAAATTTGGCAAGAGAAGTATCAGATTATTGTCTAAATCTAGACGTTTTAATTTTTGCAAACCATAAAAATTCTCTCTCCACTACAGAGATGTTAAATTGAGATGTCAAATTGAGATTCAATTCGGTTATGTTAAGATCTTTGAAAGCTTTTTTTTTTCAATAGTTTGTAAATTTAGGCGAATGAATAGACTGTTCTTGGATCTTCTTGGATGACGTTAACTTAAAGTTCCATATTTCATAGCCGTTCTTGTAAAAATATTGCGTCTGCGATGCGATAGAAACGAGAAATGAAACGACCGCAGAAAAGATTTGATCATGTTTTCAGCTACTACAAGAATGATCTCTGATTTTATCGAGAATTTATGTGCCATGGTGCCAGCAAACTTCGATTGAATCGAGGACACGATCTTTGACACGGTTATTTTTGCAGAAGAAAATAAAATTCATTTTCAATTGATTTCGCTATCATATTTCTATTTAGAGAATACGCATTTATCTTTTTAGAATACGCATTTATCTTTTTTTTTTTTTTTAAGTGAAAAACAAAAAATTTACGATCTTTCATAGGATTTTTATCCTTCGTGATATTTTACTTTCGATAATTTTATTCCACTTTCAGGCAAATTTCAAATCCTTCAACAGAAAAAAGATAATAAGATAAGGTTTTAATTTGCATATACAGAGTGCAAAGTTTAGACGTAGTACATGCATCCCCGATTCCGTCCTCGTGTACTGAAAAACACGGGAGAAGGGAGGAAGGCGAGAGCAACACCAGCCTAGTTCCACGTAGTCGGGACACGACCGTGAACTTGCGTCGTCGGTTTTCCCAGCCGGCACTCGGCAAGAGAGGCTGTCTTTTTTCTCCACGACCTACTTTCCCCCAGCGGGCCATTCTTTGAAACGTGCCTTGTGCTTTTTCAAGGTAAATTAAGCGATTCGAAACAGGGCTAATTATTCCTGGTCAGTCGAGACTTCGAACGTTTAGTAAAGAATCGAAAAGTGACGAGAAATAAATCTATTCAGGAAGAAAATAGAAGAGAATAAAATAAGAAAGCATGAAGTTGAAAATATAAAGAGACAAAAGAGAAAGAAAAGATAAATAGGAAAAAAACAAAGAGATAAAATAGAAGAATAATAAAGGAGAATGATTCTAAATAACTTTTAAATGAAATTGTAGAATGAAATGTCAAAGCATTTTATAATGATTATGGTTAAATAATAACAATTATGGTTACCAGTGAGATTTTAAATATTATACTCTCATTTAGATAATAGTAGAAGGGGTTGCAGAAAAAACACGATGCGATTGCTGTCTACCATCTTTCGAAGCAAAACTTTTAACTTCATTCGCACATTGAATTCTCTCTCGACAATTTAAGGTTATCATCCATCTAATTATATAGATTCAAGATACTTTTTATTCAGGTAATATACATTATTATTAATTAAATGTAATAACTTTAAAAAAAGCATCGAATTCTATTGAACGGATTCTATTTTAAAATAAATCCAGATTATACAAATAATTCCATTGAATATCCATCCATTGAATACTAGGAAATAATGGACAATGTTTCCAAACAAGGACAATATTTACAACTACTTCAAATTTGAAAAGCATTTGATTTAATATTGGTTATCTGATTTTCGTTCAGGTATAATAATTTCATTTCTTTCAAAATTTTTTTGATCTTGTTTGATTTAATAAAAGACAGTATTTCTAACCTTTCTGAAAACAGATTCGACGAGAGAGATATCGAGTTCTCGTTCATAATTTTAGCGTTTTCAATCTTTTCAATCCCTTGAATGATCTCTTCTCTTTTCACCGTGAATATATTATTATTGATACCAAGTCAAAGTATTTTTTTCTATAGTTATCAGATGGAAATTGTGAATATTTTATAGTTTTTTGCGTGTTTCGTGTTTAGACTAAGTTGCATGCACAATAATAGGTTATATTTATACATATACACGTTAATTGCGATGCGATGATTATTAAAAATGATAAAATAATTGAAAAAACAGATAATAGAGAAGATTTAACTATTTTAATACTAAGTTTTTACTCATTACAAGAATAATCGCAAAACAGTATTTTCGAGAGTTTATATGCATTACTTATTGCACAAATTTGATCGAGAACACGATTATCTTGTAAGAAAAAAACGCTTTTTCGAATTAAAAATGCTTTTTCATGAATTCGAAAACTCGTAATGTGAATATCTAGAAATTTTAATTTTGAATCTATAATACAATGTCGTGATATTAAATTAAAATGTTGCAAAGCGTCATAACAAATGTCATGTGGAAATACATCTTGCAATGAAGATAGCGCTTCGATAAATCGAGAGAATGAAAGAGAAGAGTGAATTAAGACGAATTTGTGATAATGATCGATCAATCGATCTTTGACTCAACTCGAATCAACTATATATATTGTGATTTCGAAATTTATCGAGAGAAAGAGAAAACAAAGAATAATATTGAAAATCTTTGAGAATCTTTGAAAAAAATTATGGAATAATTGGCTAATCATAGGTAAATTTTTATTTTATTTTTAAATTCATAGGTAAGATATTTTTAAATTCATAGGTAAATACTTTATTTAATTTAGAATTATAAGTAGTCAAAAATGTTCATATTTTCAATTCTATTTATTAAGACAATATATTTTTATTATATCAAGATTTTTTTTATATAATTATAAAATATTATAAAATATTTATCATATAATATTAGAAAATATAAAATATAAGCTTATGTAAAAAGAAAATCGAATATTTGCCGAAAATTCTTTTTTAATTTTTTCTTTTTCATATTTTTTGGAAGTTTATAATGCATATGTTCATATAATGAATGTATTAATTAAAAAATTAAAATAATTAAAAAATTTCTCAATATTTGTTTCTTTATTAATAATTATTAATCTATAAATATAAAAAAAAATATAAAATTTAAATCAACTGATATTTATCGAATCAATAATTATACACTTCGTTTGTTGTTTTAATTTCTATATTCTTCAAAACATTACATAACATCTAAACACGTCATTCAAAGATTACTACATTCTTATATATGCACATCAATTGAATCAATCAAGTCAATCCAAGTTTTGTCTTGTCCATTGCAGTTAAATTACTTTGTTCGATTTAATTTAATATTTTCAGCGCTGGAAGATTTACTCTCTATTGATTCTATAATAGGACAAAACGACTTTTTTCACTGGGCAATTCATTAAATATATGACTCTCAATCGTGATCAAGTTATTTATTCTCAGAAACAATATTTCCAGTTTCTTCAGATCTGAAAACGTGTCTGGCTTGATTGGTTGTCTGATTATCATTTGCAAACAACATTCTCAGGTTAGTCAATCCTTTTAAATCTCTTTTTTATATTGCTTATACCTATTATACTGCTTAGCTGATTTATAAATCAATAGATCTAATCTAATGTAAATTTTTTTAGGATCCATGTATAGATGTTGTTTTTCAATATGAGCTGACGAAGGCAATTATGATCAGTCTTGATCAATTATTTGAAAATCGAAATACAATTTGTATTGACCAGCGAACGAATCTTTGAATATTTCCTTGATCTTGTTAAATTTAAGGAATAGTGAACGCAACTGTTTCAATTCCGAGAACATTCGAGGAGAGAGGTATCATGTTGTTGTTCGGATCTAAGTTTCTCAACTCCTTCAATCCCTTGAACGATTCCCTCACCACGGATATATTGTTACCAACATCGAAGCTCAGTTTCGTCATCACCAGATGTTGGAAAGCGTTTTCCTCGATAGCTGTCAGCTCCAAATGGTGTTTGTCGTGTATTTGAATTTTTCAATGTGCGTCAAGTTTCTGTCACGTGTGCATATAATGTATTAGTTTATGTCTTCGCAGAATTGCAAGTCGACGATCATTACTAACGGCAAAACGATTAAGAGAGTAAATAATAGAGAAGATTCGGCCATCTTGATGTCAAGTTTTTACTCAATAGGAGAACAATAATATCTTCGAGAGTTTATATGCTTTGTATATTGCATAGTGTTGCAAAAATTCGATTAATCAGGACCACGATCTTTGACTTTTGATTATCTCGTTGGAACGTATTTAGTGTGAATAATTTGAAAAAAAAAAAATAAAAAAAAAAGAAAAACTGTTGATCTCGTTGGAATCTATCAAATATAAATAATTCAAAAAGGAAAAAGATAGAGAAAAGATAAAAATACACGATTCAAATGCGATTGATTGGCAATATTAGTCCGGTGATATAAGATTTATAATTAAAATATTACTTTAATTAGAAAATTCGTTAATATGACATTTATCTTTTCAAATTTTAATTATATTCTTTCGAGTAAAAATAGATTAGATTGGATAGATTAGTATTAATAGGAACAGTATTAATTAATACTAATACGATTATTCTCTTAATTAATTTCGATTATAAAATTCTTATAATTTTCCTTCCATTATTATCAACCAATACAAAATTATTATTTGACCTTCCTCTTCATTAAATGTACTCGTAGTCGTGTTTCCTTGGAATATATTCAGATCAGTCGAATTGGTCAGTCCAACCTTCCCCCTGTCCACTTTGGTCAAATTATTATCTTCAAGATGCAATATACGCAGCTCGTTAAGATCAGCAAAGCAACCAGACTCTAACGTGTCGATCTTATTCTCATTTAATTCAAGCCAACTCAGTACGGTCAACCCGTTGAACAGCCGAGAATCAATCGTGGTCAATTGATTGTTTCTTAAAAACAAGTTTTGCAATTTCTTCATATGTGAAAACGTCTCTGGATCGATACTGGCTATCTGATTGTTGCGCAGATTCATGCTCTCTATATTTGTCAATCCCTCGAAATCTATCTTGGATAACCTGGTCAACCGATTGAACGCAAAATTAATAAATTTCAGATCGTGCAGACACGCCAAGGATCCTGGCTGGATAGACGTGAGCGTGTTGTTCATCAGATGAAGCTCTTCCAATTTTGGTATCTGGCACATAGATTCAGCATCTATATTAGAGATTCTATTATTGTCCAGTTGAAGCGTATCTAACGAGGACAATCCCGAAAACGAATCCTTGTTGAGCAATTGGATGTAATTACGTTGCAAGTGGAGTTTCTTCAAGCTGGGTATGCCCGCGAACGAGTCTTTGGGTATTTCCTTGAACTTGTTGTTTTTTAGAATCAGCAAACGCAACTGTTTCAATTCTGAGAAGAGATACGGCGAGAGTGGTATCATGTTGTTGCTCAGATCTAATTCTTTCAACATCTCCAATCCCTTGAACGATTCCTTCTTCACTCTGGATATATTGTTACCGATGCTGAAGCTCAGTTTGATGGACATTATATCCTCGAACGTGTTCTCGTCGATAGATGTTAGATTCAATTCGAAGATATTTATCGTGTCCACGTCCCTTCTAACCTTCACCAAGCTTCCATTATTCGTGCACACATTGCAATTGTTTATATACTCGCAGTTATAAAATCCCGATGCACCGATTACGAACAACGAAACAATCGAGAGAACGAATAACAAGATAAATTCGCCCATCTTCTCTTCGCTTTACTCACTCGCGGGAACTGATTCCACTTTCGTGAATTTATATACTCTATTTATCGTGTAGCTTTGCACAAATTTGATCTCTTGACACGATTATCTTGTTGGAAAAATAGTATCGTTGAATCGCTGATCTCATTGAAACGTGTCTGGTAAATAAAAAAGAAAAAAAGAAAAAGGAAAAGGAGATGAAAATAGAAAATGGAGGATTCCTCTCCTCTGACAAATCGCCAATTTGTGATTTCAAATTTGGCCAATCGAGATGAGGCTCTTTAATCGTAGGAATTATCGTTTCCATTTAAGGAGATCGACAGGTCGTGTCGAGGACCAATCGGCCAAATTACGCTTAAAATTCCAAATTGGCGATTTATCGCGTCCTTGACACTTTTTTTCCAACGAGGTGGCGATCACTTGGTTGGTCGATGGAGGAAACGATTTTCAAGGCTGGTGGCGTCCCCTCCCATTGAAAAACTTTCTAAGCAATCGAGAAGATTAATTTTCTGTTTAACGAACCAAACGTCTCACTGTGCAGCATCTCTGGAAAAATCTGGATTACGATTTCGCATTTCACAAATGCTTTTTTTTTTTCTACAATGTGGAGCATAATGTAACGATGATAAAACAATGATAAAAGATATTTCTGTTCAAGTATCATTTCTTTATCTATTTGTTGTAAAAATATGCATTTGCATAAATATCCGTGTTCTATTTATAAGTTATTATATTTTAAATTTATATTAAATGAATTAGGATTTGTTTTTTTTTNTTTTTTTTTTTCTTTTTTACAGTGTGCAGCATAAATATATTTGGAAATATATATACTGTTAAGCTGGTATACAAAAATTTAGAAAATTTTGGACATTTCGTTTATTAATTTTTCTTTGTCTAAAATAGTTGTCAATATTGATAAACATTCATTGTAATTTCACGACAAAAGATGTTTTATGCAAGAATATATGAATATACGAAAACTAATTTCTTCTTTCTAGAAAAAAAAAAATAAATAAAAATTTAAACGAATAAAATACGAAATAATATTTAAATAGAAATTAAAATAAATTTAAAAAGGAAAGTTAAAAAAAAAAATCTTCCATTTTCATCGATTCCTATTTTTCGCCTCTGTCCGCTTCATTGAAATTCGCACAATGATCTTCGATGTATGGACATTGGAAATATTCGTCCTTCGATATGTTCCAACGCTCGATTCACGCATTTTCGTTCACGAAGAGCACATAATGAGCGCGTACGCAGCCGCGAGCCAACCTTGCGAATATCGTTTGTAATGCAAGGCCGCGCGATCGACTCGTTATCTATCTGCAAAAGCGGCAGACGCGTGACAAAGAGTTTATTGTTCCTTCGTGAGTGGGAGGAGGATTACAGTATCCTCGCATGTGTGTGCTCGTCGATGATTGATCGCTGTGTTAAAACATTCGATTCGAAACGAATCGACTTTGAGCCACCCACGTGTGTAACTAATGTTTCTCGAGAGATTCACGTTTGTTGACAGATATGTTTTATTGGTGGGTTCAAGTGATTATTCTACGGTATTCAATTGTATTTAATAGTTTTTTTAGCTCATGATATGATGATACAAAGAGTGAAAATTTAAGGAAATGAAAAAATTATGTTCGAGGTATTGTTTTTTTGGTTATCGACAATTAAAAATGAACGCGAGTTGGGAATGTAAAGAAAATCAAAGATACACAAATGTATCTTCTATTCTATTTCAATTGCCTTTATTTTTGTTGGTTTACTCGTTCAAATTTTCTATCATTATTTCGATTTGAACGAAGTATAAGAATTACGAAAAGAGAATAAAAAATGCACATGTGTCGCCATGACTTTATGGATCATATTTTGTAATTAGCCGGTAATGTAGGGAAACATTATTATCCTTTGATAATTATTAACGTCACACGTAATTAAGACAAGTGTATAGCGAAAATAGATTATATTATCAAATTTCCAACATTTATAACCAAATAAAATTTCGGATTATTAGCATTAGCACGTAACGAAGACAAGTGTACGGCGAAGAAAATCAAAAAAGTTTTTGTGCGAAAAGAAGAGGTATCTCTTTAAAACGAAAGTATATCATTTGATACTGTTCACTTTCGATTATATATGAATTATAAATTTTTATTATTAAAACTATTTTAATATCTCCTCCACTAAGTATCTCGATTTTTTTTTCGTTCAAATTATCCATCATGTCACCATTCCATTAAATGCAGAAGCTCGCCGAGCCATTTTCCTCGATACAGGGCAATTAAACAGCATTATTGTACATTAACATCCGGTACACGCCATTATATTGTAGATGCAGATATCCTAGTACTCCACGTACTACAAATTCGACGACGATCTTCGACTTCAACATTTATCCGTTAAATATATAAGTTTATTGAAATTTTTTATTGAAAGAACAAGCATTGGAAATTCTTATTATAAGATTATATAACCGCGAATATTTCAAAATTCATTTTGCGATGTTCTTTAACACTTATGATATAAATTGAAAATATATAAATTGAAAATAATATATAATATTAGATAAAATAAAAGAAAAGGAAATTGGTAATGTTGAAAATGTGTATGATGTTTCGCGTCTTTATTACGATAGATGAAAGCATTTAAGAGAATCTTCCTTCCTCATGGCGCACCGGGGAGATGAATCTCGCTTCGTTTTTATAAAGAAAAAAGAAGAAGAGAAAAAAAGAGAAGCTTTGGATAGTTTCTATGAGAGGCTCTCTCTACAAAACGGATGGAACCATGAAGAATCGTCTCTATATGAGGGAACGTTTTTCTATGAAAGAAGTGGTTTCGCGTAGGATCGTTTCTGCGAGAGAGTGTTCTTAAAAAAAAAAAAGAAAGAAAAGAAAAGAAAGAAAGAAAAAAAGAAAAAAAGAGAAGGGAGAAGTAGTAGACCCACGCAAGATCTCTAACGCTATTTTTCTGTACAAAAGATGGATCTGTGTAGGAAAATATATGGTAAAGAATTAAATGGGCCCTAGCAAGGTGAATGAAGTCTTTTGGAACCTGTCTGGATTTCAAATCTGTAAAAAAGAGATTTGAATATATATCAAGTAACATATACTTTTACATCATTCTATAATTTTTTTTAATTTGTTTTGTTGAAGTATAATATTTTGTATTAAATTTCATGCGATAATTATTAAAAAAAATGATTTATTAAAAAAAAAAGATATACAAATAATTTTTAAGAAACAATTAACAATAAATTTAAAAACGAAGATAGAAAGAGAAATTCGAAGACATGTCCTTGAATCTTGATGCAGCAGTAGTATTCTAGTCACTTGTTGAAATTTGACTTTCAAATAATTATGAATTGCCTTGCTTTATACGATTTGCTGTTTTGCATAAACTATAGAGCCATGTATAAACAAACTGATGTCCACAATTCCTTCATAAGAAAAAAGAAAAAAAAATTGGCAATCCAATATAATAAAATCCTTCGAAAAAAAATTATATGATTTTTATTTTCAATATTTTGTAACAATGAAATTTTAATATCTTATAATATTTTTAAATTTTATTTATTTAATTTTTTTTCAATTTTTCTCATATATAAATTTTTTATAACAGTAATATGTTATGAAATATTGACATTTCTATCTCTTTTTCAAAAGTAATATTTCAAAATGGTAGTACATTTAGTATTTTGTGAATGTTACATACAATACGTATTTCTGCAATATACCAAAAGCCTCCTAAAAGTGAAAAGAAACTTTCAAAATGGGACATATACTCCCGTTTCTATAAACCATATCTGTACCAACGTCTACTTTGAATATTACACGTGCCAATGTTGAACGAGACTCGTCGAAATCCCAAGTAACCTTCGCTATTCCAATCAACTCGAACACAGGAACGTTTCCGGGCACCCGTTCAATTTCGACCGAAATTGCAACGTGATACGAAATTTTTTCTCTTTTTCTTTTTTCTTAAAAAAAATAAATTATTTGCAAGTTATAAAAATATTTCGTATCGATTTGGCCATTATTTTTCATCAGATTAATATTTAACGCGGATAAAAACAGAAACAATCAATTTTGACGTGAAATCAAATAGAATATAAATATTATCCATATTTCGTTATTAAAATCTTTCATTCAATATAAAGTTTCGAAATAAATTTAACCTAATATAACTAGCATCATTGAACCAATCAAATTTAAGCACATGTAAGTATGCCTTAATTAGCATCCGAATGGTTATAGTCGAATTCGATTTATTCAAGTGTTAATCAATTTTTGTTACATGTTTTTCAAAATATTATAAATCTATAAATAATATATCTCATGAAATAAAATACATATAATAAAATTTAAATTAAAAATAATATGATATCATTTACTGAATACATTTTAAAGTGAATATAATAATCTCTAATTTAACCTACAAGTATTTTTAACCTATAAGTATATGAAGTACATAAATATCATTACGAATAAACTTTCTACGCGATCTATATAGTAATTTCCATGACTCGAAGAAACAACAAGCGAAGACATTTACTGTCATGATGCTGTAATTCTCTTACGAGAACGGAATGGCAACTTTCTTGCCACGCCTAATGTCAAGAGCGCCATTTTGTGTCCTACACTCTTTGTTCCATCCATTCTCTGTACCTGATGTGTTCACTTACAAAAGGACAAGTTAAACAGTAACTCGAACTCGTGCAAGGTAAACGATAACAAACTTTAAATTTAATTAATCTTATATTATGATTCAATTAAGATTAATAATAATAAATGTCTTAAAAGAAAGATTGAAAGATTATATCTTTTATCATTGATTAGCATAATTCAATATCAAACATCGTGATTGTGTTATTATCTTTAAATATTTAACTATGTTGATTTTATTAATAATATATAAAAAATAATGATATCGTGTCTTTCAATATACTGATCTATAAATAATCTATTTTTAAGAAAGAATAAATAATGAAATAATTGCATTTAGATTTAGGTTAGAATTCTAAAGGAAAAATTTTTTTAAATAATATATTATGAGAAAAAGTGAAATTCTATATATAATTTCTATAAATTTATGTATTTTCATTGAATATTCGAATTAATATTACTAAATTCAAAAGAAAAAAATATATTTTTATCTTTATCTGTGTATTTTATACAATGGATTTTAATACAATATTCTGTATTATTATATTCTGTATTATTATATTCTGTATTATACAAATCATATAGATTATGAATTCAGTAAAATTTGGAAACTTTAAATGATGAAAATAACATAGATAAAATTATTGACTCTTGAAGCGATGAATCTACTGCATTATTAAAATGTCAATTGATATTTTAATAATGCAGATATTGAAACCTAAATTTTATTCGTAGATATCTTTAACAGTGAATAAATGTTGAATAACGAAGTAGTATCTCAATTTCAATTATCTTCTTTTATTTAAATTTCTCCAAGCATGCATAAAAAAAGAGACAAATATCGAGCTTCCAAAAAAGAAAAGTAAAATTTTAAATTCATTTGAAGCATTAATATGAAGATATTTATTTCCAATATTATCAATTTTTTCGTTATATCCATGTTCTGGATTTCATTGTATTCGCATCAAAATACATTTCAAACAAATTTACCGATAATCAATAACATGACGAATATTATTATTCATACATTTAAATCATATTTTTAAAACTTTTCAAAATTGCATGAAACAATTGAAAATGATATAATGGAAGAAGCCACGTTTTCTATTTCTTGCGCAATTTAAATGATTTGACCTTTTCATATGATCCTCTCTCTTTTCTTACTTTTCAACAACAATCGTTGATAAAATTCAATATGCAATTATTAAATGATTAAAGTTGAATTCAATACAGCTGCACTCGAGTGTTTTTATCGATTCATATCACCTGTTCGTTTCTCTGCATGTCGAAAAATTCTTCGCTCTACTCTCTTGTAACTGTATAACCTTTCGCGTTTTGCGCAATATTCCGATATGAATACAATCGAGACTCGTGGATGTTTTCGCTGGAAGTGAAGTAAAGAATGATGGGAAAAAAAAAATTCAAGGAAGAAATCGCAAGGACGATCGAGCATCTGGATCTTTTTCGTCGATTTCTACGAATTACATAAATTCGAATTTTCCGCCGGTTTTGCATAACGAATTTCTTGAAAGTCATATTAATCGATTTTAGCAATGAAGTTTAAAATTATTAGGAAATAACGTTACTAAATTTTACAATAAAATGATTTATTGGATATGAATTGATTTTCAAATTAATTAAATATAAATAAGCATAGTTGAGAGGATAAATTATAAATTAGAAAGCGAAAGCTTCCTGTGACACACGTTCGATCTTTTACGAATGCTTTAGATAAGCGTTTATCGAGGTATCGCTATCGCTCAGGTCTAATCGATATCACAAGATCTGATGTATTTTAAACTAAATATTTAATTATACCATATATAGTTTCGATGCATGATGACAATTTTATAAAAGATATAAAATTAATAAGATAATAAATATAATAAAGATAATTAATATAAAATGAAATAAAATTTGAAATTATCTCTAGTATTAAAATTAAATATCTATCGTTGATGAAACAATTTGTAAATTATTTTTTTAGACTGAAAAAAACATAGCTCAAGACTAATTTATTCCAAACAATTCTTTTTATTTAACAATTTTAATATTCAAAAAATTAATTTCAAATTAATAGAAAAATTTCTTTGAAAAATTTAAAATCAGAAATCTATATAATTTATCTATAATATATCTATATAATATTTCTAAATTAATTCATTTTTTTCAGATTAATATACTTTAAATTTTCTTTACCGAAAAATAATCTTAACACCAAGAAATTAAATCTGAATTAACAGAGAAATTCGCTATTAAAAATTTCTTTAAACAAGATATTATAGAAAAGACAAAGCACGAGAAATATATAATTAAAACGTACCAGAATTAGTGTGACCGTGTCCAGCTCCAGTGCTATTTGTTGCCGAGTGAACAGCGTTGCTTGCAGCATTTGCAACATGTTTCAATGCGCTTATCACCATCATATCTTCAACTACACTTGAATCACGACTATTCCATCCAGGTATACAATATCCAAATAATCCTCGTATAAACTAATCGAATTTAATTTCTAACTTTGAATAGTCTCGAAATTATTATCTTCATCATCTAAACAGGTCTTCCAGGTTAACAAGATACATCATCTTGTATACAAAGAGAATTATTATTACTACTTGATTATTGCATTGGATGAAAAGACCGAATTTTTAACGAAATTTTTAATAGGTTTGATTAAATATTCTCCATTGGAAAAGAAGATTAAAATTATTACAAATGAAATATTTCATTAATTGTTGATGGTAATTCTTTGATTTATTTTTCACATTGATATTTGCAAATTTAAATTTTTCATGCTGAATTAATAAAAATACCTTCTCAAAAGCTTTTTTGCGTTATTTTAAATAATAATATAAATAATAATAAATAATACAAAATTTGCCTTCTTATAATAAAACAATATACGTATAAAATATTATTCAAAACATACAACAAATATCATTTAACATTAGAATTATTTATATTATATATTTATTTTAATTACAATTATTTATATATAAAATTTGGCATGAAAAATAATGTCATAAATCATAAAATAAAAAATATATAATCCATTATTTTTTTTATGATTATTTTAGAATTAATGGTACTCACTAAATTCTGATTAATTTTATTCACAAGAATCGGTCATTTACATATGCAATAATCTAAAGAATAAAGCTATGAAACAATTTCAAGCACATTTCTTGATCGTTTGCGCGTTTAATCGAACTAACTTGGAAAGGTCGAGGAACGCGTGGAAAATGAGGAAAAACGAATGTTCAAGGAACACAGCCAGTCATGACTGTCGTCTAGACACGACTAAAAGTCGTTCCAGCGCGTAGAGAATGCGAAAGCCAATCGCCGCTGGCACACAGACAACCGAGAGAGGTTGGTGGTTGCCACGTCCCCTCTTCTCCTTCGGCCTTCTACGGCTGAGTTTCACCTTTGCGGAAGCTTCGAACGGGTTGAGTGTAGGTGTTGGACAACAGCGGCGGGATCCACTCTATTTCGCCACCAAGAGGCGGATGACCTGGCTAAGCGTTACACGCCATGGACTTTGCAATAATCGAATTGTTAGGCTCGATAGTTTTGCGTTTTCGACCTAGTTCAGAAACGATATCTTCTACTACTGTCTTCAAGCATCAAGAGTCTATAATCTTGTGACGAATGGACCGTGAAATTGATCGAGAAGAGAGATTGTTTGATCTCTCTGAAATGATGACTTAATTGTTTTGGTGTATATTATTATTTTTGGTGTATGAATATAAGTATCTAAAACTTTGGATTTTTAACTGATATCTTAATTTTTTTATTATTAACATTTACTTTATTAATAGGTATTTAAAATTCGAACATCTACAAAATTTGGATCTACGGCTAAAGGAAATTCTATTATGAAACAAACGATATTTTAATTTTTAAATAATTTCTTTTTCCTTTCACTCATCGTTTTTTTCTACGTTGGATAAAATAATAAAGGAACTCACAATTTTGGTAGAGTAAAATTGGGATTAAGAATTAATTTATTCTGTAAGTGCTTTGGATTTTAATTCTCTAGTTACTCAATTTTTATCATTCTTTCCGCAAAGAGAATTCACTAGGAATTAGGAATACAATTTTTTTATTTAATTCCATACTCGTGAATTCTTTGGGTGGTGGCATACCCACGGACTTGAGCCAATCTTTCTTAAATGTTCACAAATGTCTATCATGTCTATATATTTCTTATTTCTTGAATGTGAAAAAATTTAATAAATATTTTTTGAATGCTATCCAAACTGAAATTATATATTTTTTTAAAAATTAAAAAAAAAAAAAAAGAAAAAACAATTTTCTTTACATTTCATTGAATATCATAAGCGATTTTTTAAAGTTAAAATTAATCAAAGTTATACAAAATTTTTATTTGTATAAAGTGAATTTTTTGACACGAGAGGTTTAATTGGGTTAATTGGTTTCCACGCGATTACGCGAATGAAGCATCTGAGAAAAAAAATTCACGAAAACGATATTTCCTTTTTCGCGAGAAGCCAGACGAAAATCATGGATGAGGTTAACCAACGAAGAGAATTTTGTGTTAATTAGCTGTTGCGCTACTTATAAGGGAAGCAACCGGTTTGTTCGATTTTCGTAATCGCACGGGCCAGTGATTCCGATTCGTGAAACGCTTCTCCTTTTTCTTGGTGAAATCGTTTGATCATTTGTTAATACTGATTTTCTTCATAGTGTTTGTTCAATATTAATTTTTTTTTGCTAAATTTATGAATTATACATTAAATGAAATTATGAATTTTTAATACGAAGAAAATTACACGATTATTTTTGGATATCTATATATTTTTTTTTAAGATTTTTATAAAAAAAAATAAATAAATTTTACCTTATTTTTAAAATTCCACGATAAGAACAATCTTATAAATCTTTTAAAAATTAACCAAAAGATATATAATTAATATAATTCAATTTTCTTTTTTCAAACTATTTATTTTTAATAAATTTAAAATTACAGGTCTTTAAAAAAATTAATTTTAAATTCAAATATGTTATTTTTATTAATAATAATTTTCTTTTCAATGTTAAAAAATGTGATCGTACTAACGTATGTATCGATTTCACCAGTGAATCATCAGTAAGTACATTGATCATTAAGTATCATTTACATGTATACACCAAACCAGAAAAAAAAAATAAAGATAATTTACTTTATTTGTTACAGTTTAAATAAACGAAAGACAAAAGCCAACATCGAGTTTGTTGCCCGATATATGATAATCCATCGATCGTGGATCTATTTGTCTGGACAACGTCATTCGATATTCTTCATGGAAACCTAAGATGGAAGCGTGGAGGGAAAGCAAAAGGGCAACGTGTCCACAGGATCTTTGGTTGGAACTAATACATCAATACCAACCTTTTCTTGACATCGGTGGACGGTTGGTGAACGGAGCCGAGTCGAGTTTCATTTACACAAGCTCCCGGGCGCAGGTGAACAAATCGAGGAATAAGAAAAATATTATGCGACCACCTACCTCACTGCTTGTTGCTGCATCGGTGGTATCTTCTTTCTTTCTTTCTTTATTTTGTACCGTTCATATTATTTTATTTTTCAATGGTTGGTAACACTGCGTTGCGTTACCAAACGATGCAAAAGTAGCTAGTAGTAATAGATTTTAAATTTCCAAATATATTTTGAATAGAGAAAAATTAGAGAAAATTGTTAAAGAATTTTGTGGTAATCGTAGTAAGGTAATAGCAAATAAATTTTATTCATTTTCTTTGCTTATAATTTTTAGAAATTTTTAGATTTCTAAATTGAAAAATTTTGATATAGATCGCTCGCGATATGTATCAGTATGCTATTTCTCTAAGGCTATTGATTATGATCAGAATATATAAAAAACGAATGAAGTCAATATCTTTATTTTGGATTTTAGCATTTCATTTGGATTACTTTATAATTATTCAGAATGATTCATTGATATCAAAAAAAAAAAAAATATCAAAAAAAGAAATTTTTAGACGAAGAATTTTTATATATTATACAAATTGTATACATTTTATATATCCACTATCGGTATCATAATTTGAAAATTACTGATCGATATTTTTCTCCTCGGTTTTTGTCCCTCTTGAAATTGAATCCTATTGGCGTCACCGTTGAAATAGTTCTACTTTAAAATTCAATGATCTTCTCGAGCTTTCCGAGCACGAACTACCGGAAAGAATCGCCCTCACGATATGTCAACCGTTTCTTTTTACGTTCCACCATTCTATTATTTACTGGATATATACGCGTTCTTTGAAAGAAAACGTAATCTTTGTCAGAATTATTTTCAAATCAGCTTTGACTTTCATCAATAAAATTTTGGAAAAAATAGAAAGAAGTCGATTCAATCATAATTTACAAATTGACAATTAAATGAATTTTTTTATTAGTAATTTTTTATTGTCTGAAAATTAGAATATGAATAAAAATAATTGAATTTCTATTTGAATTAAAATTTAAATCTATAATAAGTTTGAATTTGGTGTTTGATGAAGTCCAAGTTTAAATTTGAATTTGAATCTCAGTTTGAATTCAGTGTCTGATGGCTTATACTCATCAAACATTCAGGCGCACGCTTCCGCGTGCTACAGTTTCCCGAGACTTAATTTGAGTCTGACAGTGTGTTACAACAAGGACGTATAATTCCACATCAGAAATTCGTCGAGTCAATTTGCTCTTTAAACTTGCTACTCTATATAGCAAGAAGTTGGACTATGTTTTCCCGACACATTTGCTGTTAGGAATTTTATGATTTATTTAGCATGATTCTAAATTTCCTACTTTATAAATCTATTTTAATTAAAATTTTAGTTAAAAAAATTTTCCTATAAACTTTAATCGAAAACCAATTCTTTCGAAATGGATATTTCTTTCAATAATGAATACAATAATATAATAATATATAAATTAAAAAAAAAACTTTATTTATTGAAATTGAATTATAGATTAGATGAATTATAGATTAGATGAAAGAAAGAATGTTTCATACACAATTATTCTTTTACTTTCCTTTAAAAGCTATTTTGAAAGAAAAGTATTTTAATGATATTAATAAAAGAATAAAAGAATGATAATTCTCAAATCATTTTACAAATCTGTTTTTAAAATTGTTTTAAAGGATGTTGCGGCAAGAATAAGTAAGGCAGTACGCTGCTTTATCTACAATTCTATTACGCTTGCGCTTGAGCGATCTCCGTCGATAGCGCTCGGCTTTTTCCGACAGTTTCCGTCGAGTCATCGGTTCCAAATTCAAAGTAGTGTC